AAAGCTAGCTGTGCCTTTCAACTTGACTGAGCCACTTGGCTTGACTGAGATGCCAATTCTACATTGCTCAGGTGATAAAAATTGTGACTCGCTATCTTGAAGAGAATATTAATTTTATTTTAAATCAGACATGGTTTACCAACAGCCCATTTACTACATACAGTTCTTTCCATAACTGAACATATCTGTTCCTTGTTCACTCTCTCAAACTCTGTCTCATGACTATGACAAGCAATATTCCATTAATTTTTTCAATGCATAGAGAAATCTTTTTATGGAATACTAAAATTCCAGCTGTAGTTCAAGTCTGCATCAACAGCTCCACACTGTGGTCAGATACATATCTGCATACAGTGTTTTCTTACAGATTAGTCATCAAGCTACATTCAGGCCTACGCATTTGCAGGTTTGTCTTTGGCAGATTTGATTGTTCATAGCTTTTATTTAAATGCTCTCTTTAGATTCTCGAGTGTCAACTTATGCTGGAGGATCTAGAGGCCTTCGGGTTCCCTGGTGTGATTCTATAGACAACTTTCAGTGGAAACCTAAAGGTTACTAGAGAGGTTATCTCAGGTTTACAGAGATTTTTTTTATTTCCACTGTGTACTGTGTTCCAGCAAACGTGGAGGCTGGCTGTACATATATCAGAACAAAAGATTAAAATGTTTCAAGTTCTTTTCATAAGATCGCATATTAATAGAGTAATGTAATGATGCATTTATTTTATTTAATACAGCAACTTTACTGTTAGCACAGAGGGTTAAACTGCTGAGCTGCTGAACTTGTGGACCAAAATGTCGGTGGTTCAAATCTGGGGAGCGGGGTGATCTTCCACTGTTAGCCCCAGCTTCTGCCAAACTGGCAGTTTGAAAGCATGCAAATGTGAGTACATCAATAGGTACCACTCTGGCGAAAAGGTAACGGCGCTGCATGGTCATGTTAGCCACATGACCTAGGAGGTGTCTTTGGACAATGCTAGCTCTTCAGCTTAAAAATGGAGATGAGCACCATCCCTCAGAGTTGGACTTAATAGCAGGGGAAACATTCACCTTTACCTTTTTACTGTAAGAACATTTTAAGAGAGAACAGTGAGACAACAAGTTCATATTGCTGTGATGTAAGGCAGGAGTAACAAACCATTCAGATGCTTCAATTCCCTCTGGCCAGTATGGTAAGGGATTGTGGTAGTTTTAAACCAAAAATATCTAGAGGAGGCAAAGATCTTCCATCCTGATGTAAAAGGACACACCCTCCTTTCAATAAGTTAACAAAAATAAGAGAATATGGGGGGGAAATCATGGTAGGAAAAATAATGCCTGACTAGTATTCTTCTGTAAACAAAGACTGACATTAGAAAACAAGTATGACATCCTCCAATACGACATTCACTGCCAAAAATGGCCAAATACTAATCTCCAAGCTCTTTCAAAAGTTAGTGTCTGAAGACTGAAATAACTGCAAGAAGAAAATGCACAAAACTTTTGTTCATGTCAGAGACTGATGATACAGAACTGACAGCAGATCTGGATTTGTTCACTTCACACATACGGACAGCTAAAGTCATACATTTACAAATAAGTCCACGCGACAGCTGGAATGACACATAAGAGTATTCCTATGCCAAAACTGTGAAACACTGGAACAGAAAAGAGGTTCTTGACAGACGGTATCACTGCAGTAGGTCTCTTATCTGCTGGAAGCCTGCCAAGGGGATGTTTGTGCTAAACAAGGGCATCTGTAGAACATGAGGCATTCCAACTGCATTATGGAATAAGTAATGGAGAGTGGAGAAAGACAAGACCCAAAGTGGGTTGTTGTGTGTTTTCCAGGCTGTATGGCCATGTTCCAGAAGCATTCCCTCCTGATGTTTTGCAGGCATCTAGGGCAGGCATCCTCAGAAGTTGTGAGGCCTCACAGCCTCTGAGGATGCTTGCCCTAGATGCAGGCAAAACACCAGGAAAAAATGCTTCTGGAACATGGCCATGCAGCCCGGAAAGCACACAACAACTCAGTGATTCCGGCCATGAAAGCCTTTGACAAAAGACCCAGAGTGTTTCAACTTTTTTTAAAAATGAAGGCACTAGTCATTGTGGGACTGAGGCATACTATTCTTGAACATTCTTAAGAATGTCCTAGAATAAGATGTTTCAACATGAAACACCACATGTAGACTCTATAAGCTAGCTGGCACTGCCTCCCGCATGTGCGACAGGAAGTTGCTGTCAATTGCAAGAGAAATAAGGTTGAACACTGTGAAATCCACCCACTGTATGGCTATCAGATTTCTCCCAGTAGACCTAAATCAAGGAAAAGTTTCATGAGAACTACCACTCCTCTAAATGTTCCTCCAGCAACAGCAAGAATATCCCCGTGAGCAGCTAAACCAGGCAGTTCCAACTGGATGCCCCCCACGAGGGTCTTCCTCCAGGGGCAAACCAAGAATGGGCAACTTGGAAGTCCCTGAACAGACTCAGAAGTGGAGTGGGCAGATCAAAAGACAACCTGGCAAAATGGCACTACCTAAAAGAATCCTCTATCTTGTGTGACTGTGGAGCAGAACAAACAACTCAGCATCTGTATGCTTGCCCATAATGCCCTGCCTCACGCACAGAGGAAGAACTGTTCAAAGCTACAGACAATGCAGTCGCTGTTGCCCATTTCTGGTCTAAAATAATTTAGCTGCTTGTGATCCCTTTATCTGTTTTAATCTTATTTATTTATGCAATGCTTTTGACATGAAATAACAATAACCATATGTATACATTGTGGCGCAGCTGGCTGAGTGTCAGCTGCATTAAGATCACTCTGACCAAAAGGACATGAGTTCGAAGCCAGCCCGGGTTGGAGTGGGTTTCCAACCAATTGTGTGTAGCCTGTTGTCAACCTTTACAACCCAAAAGACAGTTGCATCTGTCAAGTAGGAAAATTAAGTACCACCTTAAAGTGTGGGGAGGCTAAATTAACTGATTTATGAGGCCATAAAGAAGACTCCAGCAAGCATTCCAGCAGGGAAGCACACGGGGAATGCGGAAGTGCTTCATCAGTGTCACAGATGGACGATGAAAGCAACTGTTCCCCTGGCGGCCAGAAAAAGTTAAATAGCCTCTGTGTATGTCTGTATATGTTTGTATGTCAAAAACTGGCATTGAATGTTTGCCATATATGTGTACACTAATCTGCCCTGAGTCTCCTGCGAGGTGAGGAGGGCGGAATATAAAAGCTGTAAATAAATAATAAATAAAATACTATGCTTACAGTTTCATGCATACTTTTCACTGCAGAACTAATTTACCAATTTCTTTCTGGCAGTTCTAGAAGAAAGTGCTCAATTGACAATAGAACTACCTTCTGTAATCATCTTCGCTCTCTGTCCTTCTAGTTTAGACAAGATTTTTATGAACTGAATGTTATTTAGGAAACACTTGTAATAACCACAGGTTAGGAGAGATCGCTTGAGAAAAGCATTCAGTCACTAGAGCCTCTAGTTCAGATCCCTGGCTCATTATGTGTAAGCTTAGACAACTAGAGTCTGGAGAAGAGCAACAAACTATCTGGTATTTTGTGGCATATTAGATATTTTCACCTGACTTTTCTCAGCTTTGAACTTATTACACATTTTAGCCCTGCTAGACCCTTTAGTAAAGTCAGGTGCTTCCCTGTTATGTCCAGATCAGAAGCTGTAGCCAGGGTTACTTTTCTGTTTTGGATAATGCCGCAGAGATCCAAAAAAGACAGGGATTTTCTTTACTACTGGAATTCATCCTATGCAATGGCCTACTTTGTAGAAGCAATTTTGCAATACTGAATTATGATGAAGTCCAAATGTACTCATTTTTAAAATGACTCCAGGCAAGAATGTATATACTTTTATTTTATTTTTTCCATCTCATGGCATTATATTTAATATGACACTTGCTTCAGCTTTCCAGAAACCTTAACTTTTCTATAGAGATAATGCATGTTAAGCCTGAGAGTGTTTCTCTGCTTGCATCTTTGTGATAATACCAAATAATTTTCCAAAAATAAATAAGGTAATTGAAGTATGAAATATCATACAGTACTTACTGAAATAGCTAGAACGCTGCCTCTTCTGAAGAGCATTATTAGTCAAAAGTTAATTAAGAAAACATGTAACTGGTTTAAAGCAAGGTTAAATAAGGATGCAAAAAATCACATTGTAAATATGGCAGGAGGTACCTCAGTTCCTACAGTAAGACAATTTCCTACAGTAAATAAGTCAATAACTTTATAATAGATTGTTATTTCTCACAATATTCCTTGAATGGGACAACAGAAACGGGTATATAAATTGTTTATGGAGCACACAAAGGCATTATTTAAAAAGTATATGGGACTTGAAAATATGTTGAGGAGTCAGAAGGATCTAATTAAAGGCACTTCTGTATCTTTTTAAAAGTGGAATGAATATAATTCCTAGAGTGTGTAGAAGACTTATAAATAGTATGCATAAGGTTGTCTATGTAACATAAACCATAATCTGTTCAAGTCACAGACTTAAAATCTGAAATGCCAAAAGACTCTGAGAAAGTCTAATGAAGAGGAACCCAATATTCCTGTAAGTCAGTAGTAGGCAACTGAGTACTCTCCAGATGTTTGGACTACAATCTCCATGAGGCTCAGGCAAGATTATGTTTTTGTAGTCCAAGGCATTGGGAGGGTAACAGGTTACCAACTTGTTCTTTAGACCATTATTATTTATTGAACAATGACATCTGAATGCTCAGTTTGTTCCTTTGTCTTCTATCCAACCACAAGAGGGCATTCACAACATGAGTTTCCTTTCTGTTTACAATGGTTCTTAACCTGTGGATCCCCAGGTGTTTAGGCCTACAACTCCTAGAAATTCCAGCCAGTTTACCACCTGTTAGGATTTGAAGGCCAAAACATCTGGGGACCCACAGGTTGAGAACCACTAGTTTAGAAAGATTCTTATGTTCAGAACATATATTATTTGAGTAATAGCATTATCTTATGAAACCTTTAGTAAGATATAGTACAAAAGATGCTTTAGTAAGATATGGTAGCTAGGAATTTCATAGCACCTAATCTTCCAAATGAGAAACGATTCAGGAAATACACAATCAAGTCCTTTGTGGTACAGACATACTTTCTGCTAGGCCTACTGTACAAAATTTGGTTCTAGGGAGGCATGCCATGCCATTTAAAATACAGTATAGTATTCTTCCATGGTAGTGACAATATCACTGTTGGTCTCCAACCAGTCTAGGAGGCAACGGACCACAATTTCGGTGACATAAGGGCTGTAACTGTGCTGTAAACAACTGAGAATGTGGCGGAGATGGCAGCCTTTTTCAGCATCTATAAACATAAAGCAAATATGGAATGGTTAATGGATGGAAACATTCTCTATGCTATGTGTATAGATTATGCGCATGCACATGTATTTAACAATCTGAATATATTCAAAAACAGTTCCTCTGACTGCAGAATTTTCAAAGTCCTTTCAAGTATGTTAATTATTATTATTTAGTTCAGTATTGATTTGCTTTGTAACAAAAATGATACTGTCCATTTTGAAGAGACAAAATCCTGCATTAAAATGTTGCTTTGAATTCTTTGCATTAGATGAAAAATGAAACACAACGTATATCACTCAATACATTTTGAACTTTCTGTACCCAGATCTGCTATAGTCCTCAGTTCCTGATGTTAACCAATCAGAGCTCTTTGATGAACTGTCCCCTCTTTGGTGGTCCCATCCATTTGTGAAAAAGCTGGGAGTTTTTGATTTAAAATGTTCACCCCACCCCAAAGATAATGATCCTGCAGGTCCAATCCAGATAAGAGTTCCATCACAAGTCTTTTTAGAAACAAGGAAATAAATCAAGACTTCCCCATTTCCCCAAATAAGCATGAAGATATTTTGATTTTTTTTCCTAAAAAGGAAAAAAAAGCAAGAAGCACAGTAGGAGGGTGCAGCCACCCAAGGTCCAGTTGAAGACCAGTGACGCACACTAATTCCTTGCTATTGCTCACCCCTGCACTAAATGATTAAGAGGGTGCTCATTACCACTCATTCATAGCCTGCTGCTGCTTCTTGGAAATGTCACTTTCCCCATTATGGTATGCAGACATGTGGTCGGAGGCAGTTGGGGAGATCGATGCGGATCAAATTCATACAGCCACATGAGGATGAATTTCAGCAGCAGGTATGAAGCTGTCTACACAAACAGAAGTCTTCAGTATTTTGAAACAACTTATCTGGATGCTGAATTATAAATATTTCACTACTATCTCTAGTTGTTAATTTTCTGCTAAGGCATTCCGACAGGTGCAATCCAAAAAAAGTAATTTTTGAAATGGTGTATAGCATTACAATAAAGTAGATATGCATACCCATATTTGCATACTATAGTAGCAGTGGCCATATCTATCTTTTTCATGGCAGTTAATTTCCTTTGGTGTGTGAATTATACAAGGAATTTTCTAGAACTTAGCATGAATAAATGCTTGTGTTTGTGAACAGGAACCTGGCTAAACTTACATTTTGGCCTCTTACAATCGTCTCTGAGGACTTCAAGGGTGACTCTGTGCAATTCTTTGTCCTGCTCAGTCACCTGGAGAACACAAGAGAAAAAAGAATGTACATTTATCTCTTGATTAAATTTATATCCTATATGTCTCCCAGAAATTGGGACTCAAGTTGGCTTACACTAAAAGTAAGTTTAAAAGGTAAAGGTTTCCCCTGACATTAAGTCTAGCCATGCTCGACTCTGGGGGGTGGTGCTCATCTCCATTTCTAAGCCAAAGAGCCGGCATCGTCCTTAGACACCTCCAAAGTCAAGTGGCCAGCATGACTGCATGGAATGCCGTTACCTTCCCGCCAAAGGGGTACCTATTGATCTATTCACATTTGCATGTTTTTGAAAGGGGCATAACAGTGGAAGCTCACCCCACTCCCCGGATTTGCACCGCCAACCTTTTGGTCAGCAAGTTCAGCAGCTCAGTGGTTTGACCCACTGCACCACCAAGGAGCTCAATTAAAAGTAAATACAAATATAATTAAATACAAAACAAGATCAGTTCTTAAAGCACAGTTAAAAGTTACAAAAATGTTTCAAATATAACACCAACTTGGTAAACAGTCTCTTTCTCACCAAACAGCTATTTATGAAAACCTGCCTGGATTAAAAGGAAGGACAACAGGAAAAGCAGCCCGTTTGCCCTTCCTCAGCAGAAAATTCTATACATATAATATACACAGTATTTACAAGACAAGATCCAGGACTACAATTAGAGGCAACTATATTTTTTTCAAGAAATACAACAATAGAAATAAAGGCTCCCAGGCATCTTCGACATACAAAAAGATTCCAGTATGCAAAAAAATAATAAAAAAAAATCTAAGGCAATAGGTGTCAAATTCACTTATAGCCTTGGATTTTGTTTGCATGTTTGCACCTTCCATTAAGAGGCTATGGTAGCACAGAATATTATTTTGCTCTAAGTTTTCCATTTACCTCATCATAACCCCATTATGTACATTCAGGTGAAGTTTATATTTGACACTGATAAAGCACCTGTGTATGCAGACATTCCACATGCAGCTGACTATACTCAAGTGCACTACCTCATTGTTGTGTAGCAGTGACATGCTAGCAACATGCTCCAGATTTGTACATGTATTTGAATGTGATGAGAAATCAGGTATGATTAACATTTACCAATGTTTTCATTTTTGACAAGAAAGGATAGCTCAAAATATCTCATTGAATTAACTGCCAATTGCCACAAGATTTCTTGCACTGAATGAGGGCAAAATAATTTTCTGTCAGCAGTAGAGGTATGCAATTCAGTTTTGGGGTCCATTATTGGCTGACCCCTCATTCTGTTTACCAGGAAGTTACTTGAATGGGGAGGGGTTTTGCCATTTTCATTCGGCAAAGATACGGCTCATTGGCAACAATGGGAAACTTTAAAGGCTCAATCCTCAGCCATTTTAAGGCCTATCTACATGAAACCTACCTCAGTTTTAGACCTCATTTACAACTGCAGGCCTGCCAAGTTTCAAAACAATTCACCAAGCTACTAATTTTTAAGAATTATTTTAAGTTTTAACCATAACATTTTTAAAAAAATAAGACAAACCGCAAGAGAGGGTTCTGGAAATTGTAGTCGCCAGTTGTGTCTATTCTCAGCCAATCAGAGAATGCACACAGCCAGGCTTTTTATTGGCTGAGAAAGAGGGAAATTTCAACTCCCATTATGCTCTGAAAGGAACTCAGAGACTATTAAGTGCCTGCTCCATGAAAGTGCTGCTGTGAAAGTGAGTTCCCAGGGCCCTATCTAGAGGAGGAGGGAACTTTCCAAGAAGAAATGGAAGACACTGCTTCTGCCGAAGAGGCGGCAGAGATCCCTGCCATATTGCAGACTTAACTCCTTCCTCTCCAAAACCGATAAAATCTGGTTCTCTCCATTTTGCTGGGCTTTTCGTCTCCCTTTCCCCCCTCTCCCCCTCTATTTTCAGATATTATACAAAATGGTCCACTGAAAACTGCAAATCATTTTTGATCAAACTGATTCGGGTCTAGTCAACAGCAACTTATTTTCCACAAATTTATTTTCTACCAAGACAGAGTTTGGTTTTTTTTTGCTTTTTTTTTGCAAAAACCTGGCTAAATGTTTGCAAAATAAGCCCCCAAAAGGAAAAAAAAAGCAAAACTGGGGTAACAATCATACTTCCCACTCTGTGTTTGTGTGATTTTTTTTCCCATATGCTAATGTGAATAAAATAAGGAAATAATTCTATCATTATGACACATGGAAAGCACCACAGGTATATGCTGTAATCATTTCTACAACACGTGTATACCAGAATTTTGATACTTACATAGTATGTATCATTGGGATTCTTTGATTTCCGGAAAAGAACACCTTTATTTTCCAGAATCCTTATTGCTTCCAGAAAGGACTCCCTAATCAAACTGGAAAAGGAATGCGATTTGGAATCTGTCTTGAGTGGAAGGAAGGGAAATAGACAAAAAGAGAAACATATTGGTACAAGGAGAAGTATTCAAGACAGACAAACGTCTAGGTCGTTTATTTGGGGTCTACACAGGATACCAAAGTCAGGACCACCCTCCTACAAATAGCAGCCTGTGAGACTAAAGCAGCTTTTGAAGAAACCTTTCCTCAGCAGATGGAATGCTTTGCTGCCAGGATAATTTATCTTGTAAGACACACTGATCTATTTTTAAAATAAAAATGAACTGAAGGGATTGCAATAAAAGAAAGAAATATGATAATTATTCACTTTGGTCTCGTGTATCAATTCTGTCTGAAGACAGACTTTAATTAGGAACACTCTGTGCAAGCTGACATAAAGCTCAAGTCAGATGACTCCTGAAAGAGAATACTTAATGATGAACTTCTTACAGTTGACAGGAAAAGCACAAGAAATGGTATTATCGTAAAAGTACAAGAGAGGAGCTTGTACTTCCAAACACTTCTTCTTCACTAACTTTATTCATTGGCTTACAAGCAACACAGACACTCCTGAGTGTACTTGCTTGTTCCTTAGTTTACAGCCCTACAATATGGATGGCTACATGCCACTTTCCCCTTATTTATATTTAGGACGAAGGGTCTTGCTTCTGGTTTTGGGGAGGGGGCTCTCACTTTAGTATAAATCTATCTACTAACCCTAAATATACTTCCCACACATATAATACATTATCAGTTGTCTGCTGACCACCTCCTGTTTACTTTTTAGTCACTAGTTTCTTTCAAACTTGGATATTATGTTTAGATTTGCCCTGCAGGTAAACTGTGGAAAGAGAATGTATGACTGCCTCATCCTGAAAATTTACTAGCTAAATGTGGATTGTAATCTGGATTTTCCAGGTCTATATTCAGCACTCCAACCACTGCTCAACACAAACCCCTAGTATGGTCTTAGAAGGTAGTTCTGGGGCTTCATTGTGTATGGAAATCTACAAAGAGATTTGGCTTAAAGAAGGGTAGGAAAGCTGCAGCATGAGGTTCTTAAGCAAATAACACAGAGATGATGAAACAGAGATTATACATATAAAAAGAAAAGGGAAAAGAAAGGAAATGTACTGATCACTATAGACCAGGTATGGGCCAACTTTGGCCCTCCACGTGTCTTAGACTTCAAGGAATTGTGGGAGTCCAAAACACCTGGAGGGCCGAAGTTTGCCCATGCCTGCTCTAGACTATGGGCATACCTATTTAAAAATTCTGTAACAGTAAAACTCCCTTTTACTTCTGCTAAACTCTTTGCCATATGTCTAGAAGCTTGTAGAAGCTTCAGCATGGAAGAGTAAATAAGCATGACTCACCAGCTGTCTCTAGAATCTTTATTGAAAATGTAGATAATTGGTTTGACCTCTAAATTAAATAAGAAAAATTGAGGTATGTGAAAAAAAATAATTAATGGATGGACTTTTGAAAAAGGCCTTCAGTGGTTACATTAAAAGATTCATTCAGTTTTTAAAATAATAGTAATACTAATAATAATACATTGTTGAAGTCTTTCATGGCCGGAATCACTGGGTTGTTGTAGGTTTTTTGGGCTGTAAGGCCATGTTCTAGAAGCATTCTCTCCTGACAATTTGCCTGCATCTATGGCATGCATCCTCAGAGGTTGTGAGGCCGTCTGCCATAGATGCAGGCAAAATGTCAGGAGAGAACAAGGCCATACAACCCGAAAAACCTACAACAACCCAATAATAATAATAATAATAATAATAATAATAATAATAATAATACTTATTTTTATACCCTGTCTCCATCTCCCCGAAGGGACTTGGGGTGGCTTACATGGGACCAAGCCCAAAACAAACACGGTTAAAAAATATACACTAGAATATAAAATACAACAACAAAAGACAGAATAAAACAACAACATTGTATATAGGAGCAACCATCAACCCATTAACCTGCAATGATAAACAATTCCTGGGCACGGGTGGGCAGACTGGTGTACTCAACTGTAAGGATAGGGCTGGTGGATAAAGTACAAATAGTAACATTAAGGATAATGGGCATAAGATGAAACATTATGACTTTGGGTGTATTTCTGCAAGGTTTTTATGTACATAGTTAGTTTTGAATTAAAAAAAATATTAAACATGCTGAACTGCTCTTTTTTTGTTGTGAGAACTCTATCCCTATTCTTTCTGTTACTTCTGCCTTGGGTAGATTACTTGCTTAGGAAAACCAAAATAGTGTAATAGAGTTCCTCTTTGAATTTTCCTAACTGAAAAGGTATAACCATGTCAGAAAGTACTTGCTCTTGTCTTACATTTTGCTTTAAGTCGCAGGAATGGCCTGTGAACTTTTGCTGTCACCTGCTTTATACAGACATTGATAGCACTGCCTGATGTTGGTGTTAGCTTAAGAGTGTTCAGTTTCTCACTTCTGTTCTTCGCATCCTTTGGGAGCTGACACGCACAACCCTCCATGGCCTTTTTGCACCCCCAGACATGTCTGGATCCCCCTGCCCCAATCCCTGCATACTCAAACTATTTCATCTAAAAAAGATCAAAAACTATTCCTGGAGGCTTTCAGAAGCAAAGGATTAACTTCATAACCCTGAAAAAAACCCAGCTGGAAGACACTTCTGGTTACAATTTTGGTCTGAAATTTTTGCTCAGCCCACCCCTGCTTTATATTAAGGGTTACTACAATCCCTAATCATAAAAGTGTTTCCAAGGACAAGGTGGGAGTAGGTTGTGTGTGATGTTATACCAAATATCAAGCACAACATGACAGAAATGCTGTTATTATTTCATTGTCTTCTGGGCCTCTCTTTGCGAATTCCCCTTCCATATCTATGTATATGTATGTCACAGTATGTAGTTTACATATACCTATGTATAATTTGAGAGCCAACATGGAATACCAGTTTGAGTGTTCGATGGCGATTCTGGAGACCAGGGTTAGATTCACTGCTTATTCATGGAAGCTTGCTGTGTGACCTTGGGCAAGTCATATACCCTCAGCCCCAGAAAATACCACGATAGGTTTGCCTTAAGTTGGAAATGTATAATTATACAACAAATGTATAATTTGCTAACCTAGGACAACACCTCACACATTTGACAGATTCTGCAGAGATGTTTGCCACAATAAATAAGTTTTCCTTTGAAACACATCAGAAGCCTCTTACAAAGGCATGTATTGATTTTCTTCCAATTAACTTATAGCCCTTAGTTACCAATACATTCAAAATTTTGGACTTCTCCAATCCCTAGTCTAGGATCTGTTGACAATTATTTCTCTTTAGTAGGATCTACAGCAATCAAATTGTATCAAACACCATTGGTTGCCAGTGTAACAAAATTGTACCAGGAAAACTTGAAAAGTCAGGTGTGCTTACCTAAACTTCAAAATTAATTCTGATGTACATAAGAACATACTAAGAAATGAGCCCTGAAAGGAAGATCCAGATCAGTCTTCCACCTACAAGCAGGCTCTTCAAATATTTCCAAGGAAAAGATTTCTGCTATCTTCTTAAAGGAGATTCCACCTGAATATTAGGAAGAACTTCCTGACTGTAAGAGGTATTCAGCAGTAGAACTCTCTGTCTCGGAGTGTGGTGAGAGCTCCTTCCTTGGAAGCTTTTAAACAGAGGCTGGATGGCCATCTGTTGAGGGTGCTTTGATTGTGCCTTTCCTGTATGACAGGGGGTTGGACTAGATGGCCCATTTGGTCTCTTGCAACTCTATTATTCTAACCAATAGAAAAGAATATCCAGCTCTTCGTACATTAAAGAAGTTTTTCTTCAGATTTGCCTTCCTGCAATTTACACTCACTTCCTTTTCTGTGGAAGCAGAGAATAACTGGTTGGCTAAATAGATGAAGATTTTTATCAGGGCCAAGGCTTTTGTTTAATATTTATTTACAGCTGGGGTGACTAACAACCCTGTTTTTATTCAGTTTTTTTCCTTTCTCTACATTTTGCTATACTTCTTGTTGTATTTTGTATTGTAAATAGCTAATTAAAATAGACAGAGAACTCAAGCTGTGTCTTAGCCAGAGAGGAATTCATGCTGATTAAAAGGAAAGATAAATTACTCAGTGTGACACACATGTATACAAACAGTGAGTGAGGACAACAAAAGTGACACTGTAGTATTACAGTGAATGAAGGACTACAAGACGTTATTGGGCAATTCGAAAACCTGAGTTTTTGTTTTTTTAAAGTTTGATCTGTAATCCTTGTTTGATCCCAGCTAATGCTAGAACACTCAGAAAGCCATGAAATGTCTTTTCTTGTGCACTGTGACCATGAACTTCAGTGTGGGTTAGATGACATTAACATGCAAGAGAGCATGCTGTTTCCCAGTAGATTCTCTATAAGGAAAGCAGACATGCAAGTAGAAGGGATAATTCAGTTATACTATAGTGTTCTCCTGTCTGCTGGATTTGAAACTCAACAGGAGTTCAGCTTAGTCTATTTCAAGTGCAGGGAGCTTAACTGAGAGGTGACAAAGAGGCAGAAAGAAGAGGTAAGCTATCATGATTCTGAGAATGCAAGAAATCCAGAAGAGAAGCTCTATTACTACATGTTGAACTCAAAGGCAGACAAGGAGAGAAAGAACAGACAGTTCCAGGAATCCAAACCAGTAACCATATAGAAATGCAAGGCCACTCACCCAACCTTGATGTTTTAGATCTTACTTAAATTGAGCCATGCTCTGTAGTCTTATTTTATTCACCAGCTACTATATCAGTTATTGCTCTCAACAAACATAAAGGAATGGAACTTAATTTGAAAGTCAACAGTACCAGCTTAATACCTTAGCTGATGTAGGGCCCCAATGGAGAATTATAAAGAAAAACATAAAACTTTACACTAAATATATGTCAGTATTAGTTATGTTTACTGCCAGAATATGCTTCTAAGAATTTTTTAAAATCCAGATAAAAAATATGGTACTGAGAAAAATAAAAAAAAATCCAGATAAACAACACAGAGGATTCAAAATTTAGATCCAAACAATGAAGCAAAAAGTAAAAGTGCCAGCAAGTGCTTGAAAAATGTTACTTCTTAGCTAAATTAAGTTCTTTGACATACTGTTCAGTGTATATCCCTGCACATTAGTGCAATGTATCAATCTAATGAGAATTGTTACCTATCTTTGCCTCGGTATTGAAGATTTTTTTAACCTCTTGCTCTTGGCCGTGTTAAGTTAAGAGCTATCACTTAAGTGCCTTGGTGCTTAAGATGCATAGTAAGGAAGTACACACATGACAAAGGTCTAAATGTATACGAAAATGAACTTCTCAAACTATTATGGACTTTATAGGGGTTGAGGGGAGGCCATTTGAACACAGAGCTGCTCTGTTGCTCAAAAGTAATATCACTCATGTGATAGTTCACATTTTACTAAGTCTAATAATGCAACATCTTCTGGTGCTAGAAAAATGAAATGTATTATTGTGAAACAAATATCTAAGTGAATGAAAATCTCCAAGGTAAAGGTTTTCCCCTGACATTAAGTCCAGTTGTGTCCGACTCTGGGGGTTGGTGCTCATCCAAAGAGACGGCATTGTCCATAGATACCTCCAAGGTCGAGTGGCCAGCATGACTGCATGGAGCGCCATTACCTTCCCGCCTGAGTGGTACCTATTGATCTACTCACATTTACATGTTTTCGAACTGCTAGGTTGGCAGAAGCTGGGGCTAACAGTGGGAGCTCATGCCGCTCCCCGGATTTGAACCTGCAACCTTTCGGTAAGCAAGTTCAGCATCTCAGCAGTTTAACTCACTGTGCTACCGGGGGCTCCTATTGATACAGAAATGGAGACAAAATGATATTCCTCTCAGGGATATTTGAAAATGTCTCCAAAACAAGGTATATCACTCAAGAAAAAGGTGTTTCCAGGAAATCATTACTTTACCAATAAGTCACTGAGACAAAGGAATGTGACTTGTTATAGTTATGCAATAACTATCTAACTGAGCTGCAGTTTTAAAGCAGGGCTTCTAAGAACTGTGCATTACATGATTGCCATTATGATGACTCAAAATATTGGGCTAAAGAAGTCAAAGGGAATTTGTCATGGTTGTAATAACACTCTTCCCTTGTGACCATGGTAACTGTTGCGCATAGTCCTTTAACTGCTGAGTTGAATAGCTTGGAAGAACCTTCAACTTTCATTAGAATGACTTATTATGGCAGCTAGTTTGAGAAACTGATTCCAGTTTCTATTATATTCTGTGCCACAGAGCAGCAGGGTACTAATTAAGATCCAAACCTATCTGCTTTATTAAAATTCAATGACAAAAATTTCTTTTATGAAAACAAATGTTGCCAGGAACCAGCCTGTGATGGTGTTCAAAGGACCCTGTATAAATAGGCAAGAGATCTGTTGTGACTTTAATTCAGTGAGCAGTCTTGGAAGGATTTAAATCTCCAACAGCACAAGGACTCTAAAATATAATCTTAAGCACAAAATGCAGCTATGCAGAAATGGGAAACATGCCAAGAAAGATATTTCCTTTTCCTTCTTAGTTCAGTATTTACCTATAATATATTTAAAGAGATAGAGGTTTATATGCCTATGTTTGTTATTAATTGTAACGCTGCAGCAAGGATTTTATACAATTCTGTATGAAAAGCCCAGATCTTCAATTGCTGCCAGTATACATAATTTCACATCGACTGGAGTTATTCAAATTTGCACCAGGTGGGTTTCTGGCTCATGGCCTTATTCTCTGCACGCTATGAATCCTTTATAAACACATTTCTATTTAACCACAAATCGAATGAAACACAGACATCTCACGACATTGAAAAGCAGTCCAAATCTGAAACAAGCACTTACTTTATGTACAACTCTGATTTCAATTACAGTTTAGAGTTTGGAGTCTCTTACCACCTTCCCTATTCCCCCTTTCCAAGTTTTTTCTCTGAATGTCCAAGAAGAATGTGTAATACAGAGCAGATGTCATCATAGACTTTATAATTTCCTACAGAAGGTCTCATCTTTTTAATATTCTGGGACCCAATTATTTTGCTCTGCCATAATTAAGTTCAGAACTCCCCAGCCCTGTCCCTCAACTGGTGCATTGTCTTGAGGAGACCTCCCACACTCCAGTACAGTTTCTCAACAGAGTTCTGACAGAAGCGAGTTAACGCAGGAGGCTAAGAGACACTATTAAGTTCCTTCATTTTGTTAGTTTTACAGCTTTAACAAACTTACTCCCTCCAGGACTTACTGCATACATTTGAAGCCATATGTGGAATTCAGTTGTTCTTCTGGTTCCCTAAGATTCAAAGCTTTTGCTGCCTTTCAAGATATTCCTTTCTAGTCCTCATGACTGGAGATAAAACTCTGCCATTAGTTAGTGAGAAATTAATTTCCTTAAGATAGAAATTATGGCACAGATTATTATTTAACTTATTCTTATTATTTACATTCTTTGTTATTTATTTCTTCACTATATTTCTATCCCACCCTATCTCACCCCCAAGGGGGGACTGAGAGTGGCTTACAGCTTGGCACAATTCGATGCCACATCAAAACATAAACATTACAGACCATAAATACATTAAACATTACATCATTAGCATAAAATAATCACATATAAATACAGTTAAAACAGGATTTAAATCTCAGTTGACCAGAGATTAAAACAATTCCTTACACAGTCACTTTTACTCACTTGTTCAGCAGTGGTGCCCTGTCTGATCAGATCTACCAACTCTTCCACTGTTTCCAATTCCTGCTTATAGAAGCTCTGAATCTTGTTCCTCAATAGAAAAGCTCTTATATTTTCACTTAGAACACCGACAGAGCCAAACAAGCTGGCCACACTTAGGCTGCTGTCAATGAAAAATAAATTAAATATGCATGAAAAAAATGCTGAAGGACACCCAGACCCACTTGCCATAATATTAGATTAAAAATGTAAATGACTTATATTTGTCATACAAAGATTTAGAATCAAAACAATATTTGAGCAGGAATTGTCCTTACAAACACTTTGCATGGAATATTATAACTAGTTTCAATATACTACCAGCAACAGTAAGTTTCCTTTTTTGGGGGGACCACAACTCCACTTACTAGAAGGGATACAAAAAGACCCATAGCTATTCTGAAGCTCTCAATTCAGTCTCTGTGGATTTACTATGGAATATTTGAATGCCCCTCGCTCCCCATTAGAAAACCCTGTTGGGTGCCACAGACCAAAGACCAAGGGGTTGAACAAGAATTCCTCAGAATTGTCTTCTCTGTTTGCCCCTCCAGGAAGGAAGAGAACCACTGTAAAACAATGCCCAGAAAACAATCCCAGAAAAACTTCACAGTCCATGGTACTAAAAGCAGCCAAGAGGTACAGCAGAGCGAAGAGGGACATACTTCCCTTGTCCAGTTCCCTACATAGGTCATTCACCAAATACACAGATCTGACTCACTCCCGTTGTGTGGCACATGCTTGTTATCCCTTGCAAATTACATTCCTGTTCCTGCCTCTGATTATATCCCAACTTCATGCCTTCCCCATCATAACAACTTTCCATACCAGCAAAAAGTCTAGATTCATTTATTTGTTTGGAATTCAAGCTCATGCTGTAAAACAAAGACAAGGAAAGTATGGGTCATGGATCATTTGCAGTTCTCCTCCAAGACTCTATAGACCCATTACAACCTCCCTTCCACCATCAAGTATCAACAAACTTTTGTACAAGAAAATGAACATTGGAATTCCATTTGATTCTTTCTTGTTTGGAAGAAATACATATCTAGCTTGAAAAATGCAAGAGAAGTTGCGAAAAAGGCCCTGAAATGCAGTGCAATGGATTACAATATCTTCCAGAAGTTTTGGCAATCCCTATATCATTTTTGGGGAGGGGGAGATTGGAGGGACACCAACTACAAAGTTACATGGGGTTGTCAGGTTCCCATGAGATGGCAATGAAGTTTCCAACATTTTTGTAGTTGCTCATCCTGATGCAAAAGCATACTTTCTCAAATAATCTCACTGACCTCTTTGTTTCCTCAGGGATCTGGAATGGCTTGTCATAAATATCTCTATATAGACGTGGGAGCTCGAACAGCCTTGCAATCTGAACTTCATACACAGGATCATCAACTTTATCTGGAAAGAAATGAGAAGTATAAATGGGAGCTGCTATTTGTAACAGCATATGTGCACACAAGTGTGTTTTTGCCTTCAAATCATCTGGCAATTTATGGTGACCCCATTAATTTAACTAGATTTGCATAGACAAAGAATATTCAAATATGATTTTGCCCGTTCCTTCCTCATTGCTGTATCAGCTGTATACTGGGGAATACAGCCCAAATGGTTCACAACTTTAAATATCAGAGCCTGCTTCTGGAAACCAAGCCCTAGGAGAAACAGCATAGGGAGCTGGGTTCATTTAGCTTGGAGAAAACAAGGCCGAGACAGGGGACATAATAGCCATGTTTACATATTTGAAAGGTTGTCATGTTGAGGAGTGGGCAAGCTTGTTTTCCACTGCTCTGGAAACTAGAACATGAAGCAATGGATTCAAATTTCAGGAAAAAAGGTTCCATCCAAACTTTAGGAAGAACTTTCCTGACAGTAAGAGCTGCTCAACAGTGAAATATGCTGACTAAAGAGTCCAGTGGAATTTTCTTCTCTGGAGGTTTATAAGCAGAGGCCGGACAGCCATCTGTCGGGCATGCTTTACTTGTGTGTTCTTGCATGGCAAGGGGTTGGACCAAATGGCTCTTGTGGTCTCTTCCAACTCTATGCTTCTATGATTCTGCATTCTATGTACAATTTAGTAAGTAGTGGTGGATAGGAAAGAGAACACACTACAACTTGCACAGTGGATTAAACCCTTGTGCTGGCAGGACTGCTGACTGACAGTTTGGCGGTTTGAATCCGGGGAATGGGGTGAGATCCCATCTCAGCTTTAGCTTTCATGTGAGGACATAAGAGAAGCCTCCCATAGGATGATAAAAAATCAAATGCCTGTGCGTCCCCTGGGCAATGTCCTTGCAGACAGCCAATTCTCTCACACCAGTAGCGACTTGCAGTTTCTCAAGTCACTCCTGACACAAAAAAACCCCTTGCATTTTAATTCCTAGGACTGATTCTGGAAAGCTGGGCCCCCCTGTCACCTTACTGATTTAACTGTGCAGGATGTTGTCATTAAGAACACTCAAGGAGACTTGGATGATGTACACAGTTGTACCCAATGATGTTGATCGGAGACTCACAATGGCTCAGCTCTGAAAGAACGATTCCTGGCACATTTTGGTATACTAACAGTTACTTAGGTGGTTATTATAATAGGGACTTTAAAAGTCAGATAAAAATGCAAATTGCTGAAAGAGTAACTACTCACAATAGACAGAAGCATTGATTTCTCTCTGCTGTCTGAATACCCGAATGGAACCACGGACTCTGACAAGATCACCAATTTCCGGATTTGTTTTCTTGTGAACTGCCATTTGGAGCTTTCTTATTTGTTCAATTAGATCCAAGCCACAACTAGAGGATTCAAAATCTGTGGAGAAATAAACAGATACCACATGGTACTGCTTTATTCACAACATTTTGAATAGGAAAGCTAACCAGATTTTCCTGGAGATCAGATATTGGCCAACATGGCATGAATATTAAAAAGCATACAATATTATGACTCCATACTTATTTTGTTCTTTCATACACTTGCAAGCTGCCTCCTTGCATAAAGTCTTACTAAGGTAACTTTAAGCAGCATTACAGGCAAAAGCAAACAAAGTAATGGGGGAGTGGGGGAGAAATAAAAGAAAATTCTGAAGGCCCCAGTTACTATGTCTGTAACCCTGCAAAAAAAAAGACTCATTGCAAAATTGAAAAAAGTTGTCACTGCAAATTAATTGCATCCCTCCGTAACCTTATTTTATAAAATGCAATAATGCATCCTATTGTTCTGTCATTTGTGCAATACACACGCACCAGGGGAGAATACATTTTTGATTCTAAGATTAACCTATTTTAGATATGTTTATATGAGAAAAAAGGTGGATCTCAGAATCAAAGAAAAAATAAAAGTGCACATCCAAAAAACATCAGTTGACAAAGGCCCAGCTGTATACAAAGAGTATTTGATATAAGTAGAAAAGACAATAGGGAGGGAATTCAACTAGCAATTCTGCTAAGCATTTTCTAAGGATGGAAGAAGACATCAAGGAAGTATGATAATTATATTATATCCTCTGTTTCGATGAAAGTATAAAACTTTTAATATAACATAAATGTAACTACTATAAGTGCCTCTTTAAAATGTCATGCTACTGTTTTACAATTCAAACCTCAAGAAAACTATCAAAATTAAAATCCTTAGCACATCTCACTCAAAATAAAAAGACCTTTGCTTTTATTAGAAGCAAAACAAAAGCTACCCCTCAGTGCCTGTCAAGCAACAAATACAGTCTGACAGAATGTCATGCTTATTAGTTCCTTATTTAAAATTCAGTCATTGGATCTTGAGCTGCATGAGCTTTAATTGCTGCAATCTGAGAAAATGACCACCCGAACAAATTCTCAGAACATGCTAACTACTGAATATTCTGCATCTCCTTTGAGGACTTTTATAGACACTATGTTTTAGATTTTAGTCAATGTAAAAGAACAGGAGATGTCTACATTTAATTTTTTCATTTTTCCTACATAATTGAAAGTAACTTTAAGTTTCTATGTGTCTGAACATACTGATGTAATTCAGATTTGGTTGTCTGATTTAAGTTGTGTTTTGACAAAGGTTTTGATGGTAACTTTGAACTGAAAAACAGTGCCACTATTTTTAATTGATATTATTTTCTGTACACTATAAGTAGATGTACAACTGTAGACTGCAAGGGAGGGCTGTAGTAAAAGGAAGTGGTCTAAGAATAGAAGAAATAAAGCTTAATGGGTTCAAGACAGGTAATCATCAGGACAAAAGCTCTATGTGATTATGTGCTGGTATGTTCTAAAACCATGCAACACTGCCTTCCCTTTACAACTGATTGAATCTGGAGAGTGGGGCAAAACAGGTGAAATATGTTCAGTAGGTGTTTTAGGACAGCAGGAGAATGTCACTTCCATTGAAGTCTGAAGCACAGAAAAACATTCTTTTTATACAAACAAAAATGTATTACTTGGGGACAGACATCTACATGAACATCAAAATGTAAAGAGCCGAGTCCCATTGGGGAGAGAGGGTGGGCTAAAAATAAAATGTTGTTATTGTTAAGAGAAAATGAACCCCCCCCCCCCACTAAAATTCTTACAATGAATTCCCCAAGTGGGAAGAAAAAGCAGAACCTGCTGCATTCAAAAGAAACTAAGACATCTCAATTTGGGTTGCTGTGAGTTTCTAGGTTGTATGGCCATGTTTCAGAAGCATTATCTCCTGACGTTTCACCCACGACTATGGCAGGCATCCTCAGAGGTTGTGAGGTTTGTTGAAAACTAGGCAAGTGTGGTTTATATATCTGTGGAATGTCCAGGGTGGGAGAAAGAACTCGTCTGTGTTAATGTTGCAATTGATCACCTTGATTAGCACTGAATAGCCTTGTAGCTTCAAAGCTTGGCTGCTTCCTGGCTCAAACAGACAAGAGGTCTTTCTCCCACCCTGGACATTCCACAGATACATAAACCCTACCCAGTGATTCTGGCCATGAAAGTCTTCGACAACACATATCTCAAATTATTGGCCAAGGTTTGGCAGATCTATTTGTGAACACATATGCCCTCATTTTTTTAAGTCTCCCTCTGTAAAGGGGAAGCAGCTACACTAGGAGCTGTAATAAAGAAAGCATCTATGGTTAGACTGAAGACTTGAGTTAAAACATCAGCTAAAAGGCAGGGCCATTAGTTCTGAATAACTGGTTGCTGCACTTATTTGTTTATTTTTTCATGTGAATACATTGAAGTGGAAAAATATGAAAAAGACAAACGAGTAAATTCAATAGGAATCTGAACACAACCTAGACCAGATATTCTAATAAATATTCTGAACACTAAAATTGAAGGCAAGTAGTCACAGATTTGAATAAAGATTTGCGTTCTGCCAGATATTACCTGACAAAGATTTCTGTTCTGCCAGTGAATTTTTCCAGCAGGTGCAGCTTATAACCCCTGTGCCATCATCCACTAGAAGAGAAAGGCAGCAAATTAGTGAAGGGTTGCCTTTCCGGAACACAGAACAATACCACACAGATCTGTCATTTTATCAGGGCACATCTACATTTTGCTCATCATTGTCAGTATTTTATACCTAAGGACTAAAATGTATCTTCAATAGCTATCAGAAATCTCCCATCTGCTTTCCCAATTTCAATTGTTATTTTCTACTTCAGAATATCAAATGATTGAAAGTTGGTGATCTGACACGAAAAACACATATTGTCTAAAACACTTCCTTGTTCACCCTTGACATGGTGGCTGGTGGATGAGTTTGCATATGAAGAGCTGAGATGGGAATAACCCGAGATACAAATGTGAGACAAAAATTAATTTTTGAAAAATTTACTATTTGACATTTGGCATAAGACCCTCCTTGCTCCAAGATAAAAATTATACAGCATATGAATGTTGCTATTCTTCTAACTGATTTCTTTAATTCATCTTAATTTATTGCCATGAACTTGTGCCTTTTCTTGTCTTTGCTGTCTACGTCATGTGTTTCTGTATATAACAGAATGCACATAATTTGCATTCTATTATATGCAGAAATACAATCATGACATATAAATTATTTTTTGAATCCTCCAACACTGATTACATCTTCCAAAACAGGTATGTGGAGTTGCATTTGAAGACTGTTTGGAAGCTCCAAATGGTCCAACGGGTTGCAGCCAGATTGCTCACCGGAGCGGCGGACAGGGAGCACACAACTCCCCTGTTGTGTCAGCTCCACTGGCTGCCTATCTGTTACTGAGCACAATTCAAAGTGCTGGCATTAGCCTATAAAGCCCTAAACAGTTCCAACCTAGCTTACCTGTCCAAACGTATCTCCTCCTATGAACCACTTCAGAGATTAAGATCGTCTGGGGAGGCCCTGCTCTCAGTCTCACCTTCCTTGCAGGTGCAACTGGTGAGGATGAGAGACAGGGCCTTCTCAGTGGTGGCCCCTTGGCTCCCTCCCCAGTTATATTAGATCAGCCCACTTCCTCCTGACCTTCAGAAAGAGAATGAAAACATGGCTCTGGGATCAAGCCTTCAGAGAAGAATTATAGTGCAATAGATGGACTGGAATTATGTGAAATTACTGCTCTGGATATTGTGGATAGTGTGGTTTTATAGTGATTGTAATGTTTTTTAAATGTTTTAATGTATTTGAATTTTGATCTTAATTTAATTTAAATGTTTATTTTACTTGTATCTTTTCTTAAGGCACTGTATTGTTGCCTATCTGTAAGCCACCTTGAGTCCGCTTAGAGGTTGAGAAAAGCAATATATAAATACAGTAAATAGATAAATAGGCAAGAATTATATTCATTTAATATATAAATTGTAGGGGCAAGACAGTAGTTGGCACTGGCTACTGTCTGAAGAGAAATCACAGAGGGTTGAATAGCAGAAGAAAGGGCTCTGATTTTAAATATTTAGGATTTATGATATTGAATTATCATTTTTCAATATCCAATTGAAGAATACTTCCTGTGCATACTTTCTCCCCAAGTGCTTATGATACCTTTTAGACTTGTGACACTATTGACCTGCATTATTGTAATTTTCCTCATTTACAAATCAGTCACTGATCAAAATAACAAATGGATACTTGGTTTATTGGGCCATGTATTATCTAGTAAATGTGTGCTTATTGTCAATGTGAACCATGTACTGATGAACAATCAGAGCTTGAAATAGGCAACCTCCTTTGATAAATATAAATTTTAGATCTAGAATAAATCTAGAATTTTCAGTACAGAAAGTACACCCTCCTTTCTGCAATTTCCTTCTAAGCATAGGAGTGTAACATGCCTCAGTAGGCTAGATCCAGCTCATGCAACACTCACCAATTAGCTTCCCTGCTGGCATGGCCTCAGTTTCAACTGAAAGGCGTAAGTGGAAGTTGCCACTCATTTTGGCTAACTCAGCCTGCTTCTGGTTAGGGCAGGGAGGAGTCACTTGGCACAGAGCCTGAGGAGGCAGCTAAGAATAGTTTGGACATGGGGAAAGAAAGAAACAGGAAGGAGCGCAGTCCTAAGGAGAAGAGAGAACTTGACTCTTTTATTAACTTCACTTTGAATATGTGGCATTTAACTCGTCTGATCTTTCCTTTATGTTCTTACCTGGAAGATAACATATAGGAAAGAGATCACTATGTTGGGAGTTGATGGGAAAAGTGCAGATGACAAGAAATAGATAAGAAGAAAATTCAGGCGTAGCTTTTCTTTTCAAAAATAGGAAGATACAACAACAAATCACTCTTTTAAAAAGAATAACAGAAGCATTTCTGCCCAGGAATGGGCAACCATACAACCAGCTTATCAGACTCTATTTTTGGATGTACATGGAAGTGATTGCATGTACACTATCTCTTTTTGACTGTGAATATGTGTTGGCAGGCTCCATGGGCCACTAAAAGGCTCCATGGCCCAATGGTCTGAGACTTGTGCATGCATACTTGTGCATGTAAAGGATTTAGATAACTCTTCAAAAAAAATTAAGAGCAGTGTTTTGTTGCTTGGCTTTTCATTTTTTCTAGTGAGAAGTTCCAAAGAAGTGGAAAAATTTGGAATGGAGCAGTCTGGCACATTTATGATCTGTTTGCTACACACAGGAATGGTTCTTGCATCTCACTTATGAGAGAACCTTGTACAGCTTGGTCTTCTGGCTCTATATATTTGGAGGAAAAAGAACCTTTATGAAAGGTTCAATGTAGATCTACTCTTCCTGAAATAATAGCTGAGACACTCTGAGTTGAAATATTTTAAGAAAGTAAGGTTGCAATTCTACGCTCACTTGGGAATGCATTTCTCTAAACTGCAACGGTCTTACAGGCATTGAACTCTAGCATAATATCATGGTTTGAATGTTTACAGAAAGCCACACAGCAATTTGCAAATATATGTTAATACTGGGTTGAATGCAAGTCCATGCTATGGATCATTAAAACGTATATAAGCTTTTTCATTTCTTCTTTACATATATCAGCTGTTTAATCAAACATGGATTCTCTAACTATTATATTAATAGCTACTAGGAATAGAAAAAGATGATGACAGCAATGAGAATTACTTACCACCATAAGTATGGAAGGCATCACGTTTTTTTATTAGAACCACAGTTCCAAGAATATCCACTTGCTTTACTGGATGCCTGTTATAAAAGAATATACCTAGAAAGATGAGAAACACTGTTTTTATATGTTTGTTTGAACTCCTTCAATTCTTTCTTTAAAATCCTATCCATCACAATCACTAAAGAACTTGCAGTTAGTTAACTTCAACTATTTGCACTATGTGTCTGCTTAATGCTTAAATCAAAATACTTAAACACTGGCATCAGCTTTTGATCAAAGGATTGAACTTGCATCTTCCAAATTATGCTTGAAGACAGAATGGTATATCATAGTCTGATCTGGTCCCCCATTTGTCTGGTGAACTTTAGAAGTTTAGGAATTTACTGTGTTCACGTCACATATAGATGTCTTCAATCTTATTCAACCAAAATGTGCATTCCTGCACTTACTCAAACATACTTCCAGTAACTGGGAAAGCCCTGATTGAAAATATTCTACTTTCTTGTATTACCATCCCATGAGAAAACTAAAGCGCCTATTTCTCTCATTTAAAATACAATTTAAATGTATCACATATAACAAATTATTTGTGTCCAGCAGCACGCAATGCAGATGACTGCGGAAGTATTTCTATGAGGCACCTGTTTCATATCTACCAGTCCACCCACTCAGCCATTTCAGAAGTGGGCTGAGGCCTTTGGTTTATGGCAGAGGCTTTATTCTGTTTGCTCAAAGTAAGATACTCCTCAGTTGGTTTCCCACATTTTACTGAGATCAGAACAGCACTTCTGCTGCTCATCAACATGGCCAGAGAATAACTGGGTGGAAAATACATGAAATGTTAAGACTTTCTGCTCACTTTTTTGTAGTTTGCTTTATAACAATTCCTTTATGCTGATAGGTGCAAGGTACAAGTGGAATAAATGAGAGCCATAGGCTTCCATGGAATAGATATGTGTGATACTGTCCAAAACAGCACAGGAAATGAAACAAAGCACACTGTTTTTAGCAACACGGGGGGGGGGGGGGGGGGGGGGGGAGAAACCAGGTGTGGTGCATGCTGACACAGGAAAGTCAGAATATTTAATGAATGTTGTTTAAAAACTGGATTCTTGCTCCCTCTTCCCTCTTTAAAAATTCTTAATAGTTAAATTAATAAAAATATTCAGCATCTTAATTACAGAAAAACTCATCTTGTTTACATAAGCTACCAAGCTTGCCCGCCATCTTTTTCCCATTGACGAAAGCAACCAAGGAGGGAAAGCCAGGTTTTTCATTAAAAACTAATAACATTTTTATGCACCCACTTATTCGCCACCTACCTGGCACCTGTTTAGACTGCTTCATTTCTAATATGTCCTTTATGTACAATCTTGCAAAGGCTGAAAATATAGGATTCAAGCCCCATAATACTGATGGGACCTCTACTTCTGAATCTGTAGCTGTGGCAGACATTTAGAAGCGAACAATCCGTCATGAAGATCCTGAATCAATCAATGGCAGCAGAGCTTCAGATGAAATAATTGTCAGTCTTAAAACGGAGGGCGGAATAGATACAAAATAAGATATTAAAATGAAACAATGTCTTAATCTAAATCCATAGATACAACAAAAACAGTGAACAACAGCAGAATTGAAATACTATAGCAAATTACTGTTGTTGTTGCCTTTTAGTTGTTTCCAATTTATGGCGACTCCAAGGTAAACCTATCACAGGATTTCCTTAACAATGTTTGTTCAGAGAGGAGCTGCTTTTGCCTTCCTCTGAGGCTGAGAGAGTGCAACTTGCCCAAGATATCCCACTGGCTAAGTGAGAATCCAGGCTCTGGTCTCTAGAGCCATAATTCAATGTTCAAAGCACTAAATCATGCTGGCTCTCAGCTAATAGTCAACAGAAATGTATAACTGCTTACTTTCCTGTAGCTCAAAGAGAAACACTGCCCTAGAGAAATGACAATGATAGGAAACACCAGAAAGATTAATAATGCAAGAACTTCAATAATATAATTCACTCAGGTTTTTTTTTCCTACTGCAAACACATTCAATTCAGAAAATAAATGTCCTGCTAGGAACAAAAACACTATAAAAAAAAACCAGACATAGGATGAAAAGAAAGTAAGCACGTTTTTGAGAAGTATTCAATTGAATGTGTTATGACATCTTTCCTGTGTGTTCTTTTCATCAATAGAAACCTAATTACAGGGCCCATGACTTTGTAAATTTAGATAGAAAAGCTATGCTTTTTCTACAGTGGTACGCATTTTAAGGAATAGTCTATCAAATGAAATCTGTGAGGCATAAATAATTTGTTATCCTTTTTTCAGGTGTCTGGTAAAATCACATGTATTCAGGAAGCCTGCTGGCTGAACAACCTCACTGATTATCTTGCAAATGCTGTATTTTTGAAATGTTGGGTTTTTAAAGTATTTTTTTCATCTAGTTTGCTATTAGATATGTGTATCCTGGTTTCATATGGCTGGCCTTTATAGGAATGATGTATGCTCTGTGTGTGTACACACACAATGTTTAGCGGGTAATATAAGTTTAGTCCAGTCTTCTAAAACAAAACAAAACATAGAAAGATTAACAAGAAGATTTATTTTCATAGTTCCGAAGCCAGACCATGGTAAAATAAAACACACACAGACTACAGAGATCATAAACATAATCAATTAATTATTTCCATCATTCTTCTTTGAATTATGCTTGAACTATTTTTTTAAAGGATGGGAACTCGGTGAATTGACTCAAGCAGTGGTGACAATAGACAATATATTAGAGTTTACCGATATATTAAAAACCATCAGGTAACTGGGCAAATATGTCTTGAATCTCAATAACAGATAGATAGATAGATAGATAGATAGATGGATGGATGGATGGATGGATGGATGGATGGATGGATGGATAGATAGATGGGGGGGGGGGTTTACTGGTCTTTTCCTAAGGAAAAAAATCTAAATTGTTCCTAAACATCAGCATGTGTACTACACATATCCTAAAAGCAGCTGACTTTTTAAAATAGAATCCACGTAGATTGGCAAACAAATTGTTGTGATCCACATTAAAGACAGAATCATTAAGGATACAGAAGAACAAGACACTGAAAAATCAGCACACAGAAAGTGCAGAGAGGGGCACGTTTAGGGTTCTTCCCAATGTCAAAGACAAACAGCATCCTAATTGGATCTTGGTTAACTGCTCAAACAACGTAAATCACCACTTCTCTCTATTAAGAAAAGAGAAATAAGCAGTGCTGTAGTTTGTACCTTATGGACACCATTAATTGGCAAATATAAAGTCTGAGGATCAGCAACGAGGGTCAGGAAACCTGTGAAGTTAATAAAAGAAAGGTTAAAATGAGAAGTAGAATTCAAGCAAGGACCCCTTCTGGTCACAGTGTGCTTTGCACCCCACTGTCCAAAATCCTATAATCTGGTACAGTTGCTATTATCCTGAATGACAACATTTTATCATTAGTCGCAATAAGCACTAGAGTGTCATTTCTAACACAACATGACTTTCATTCTCTCCAGAACTTTCATTTAATTAGTCTAACCCTTGCCGTGCTCTCCATGTGTTACAAAACCATCCTTTGACCGGCAGGAAGTGCAGACATCATTTGTGTTGACCTTCTTTTCTAACTTAGTACCCTTTATTGTTGGAAGCAATAAGAGAGTAACAAAAATCCATTGTTACTTAAGACCTTGATTAGGTCCAAGCAATATACCACAAAGGTATAAAAAGGACCAAGATCTTTATCAAATGAGACCCTCTTTTAAAAAAGGAAGAGATAGAGAAGACACAGATAATCAAAACATAAAGCCAGACAGCTATATCCCATTGCTGCCTACACCAAATGTGGGGTTAACTTTTCAGTAATCCTACTACTGACACCACATGTGGGGTTTTCACACTTTATTGCTCTACTCTTTATCCCACCATTGAATACAATAAAGGTGGGGTCTTTGAACTACATGGGCAACCCCAACACTGTGGGCTATGGTGGGGGTCTTTATACTACATGGACTGAATGGAAAGATTTCAGTGTTTACTGCAAACACACAGTATAAGGCAATGGTTCTCAACCTGTGGTTCCCCAGGTGTTTTGGCCCACAACTCCCAGAAATCCCACCCGATTTACCAGCTTTGGGGAGATGGTGACGGGGTAGAAATAAAGTTGTTATTATTATGACTACCCTTCAAGGTGAATTAACACTTGATGTAAATTACAGAAATACAGAATCTAACTGCCAAATTCTTAAATATGAAAGAAAACATGGAGCTGTGACCTGATATAGAAAGACTGGGCAATATTCTGGAGTTTAGTGTCAGACAGGGTACTAGGAGCTGAACCACTCTGGATTGGCCACCTCTGAAACTGCCAATAAATTTGCCCCTAAATTTTAGTTGGTGCAGAACAGTATCAGAGCACCTTTCTCTACTATACATCCACTAAGACTGCAGATCTACAATATATACTTGTGTATAAGTTGAGGGCAATTTTGAGGTCAAAATTATGGGAGGAGAAAGCACTGACGTGGGCTTGGGAGGATAGCTGCCCTAGGCTGCCACCACCATTTTCCCACCCAAGCATTCAAAAAGGCCAGAAACAAGTGCCATGGTAGAGAGGGTAGAAGGACGGGTGCACCTTTATGGAGAATGGTGTCTGCCATCACTTATGCAAATATAGGAATGTTGCAAAGCTGCGGAACAGGAACAGGGCCTTCTCGGCTGTGGCCCCCCGCCTATGGAACACACTCCCAAATGAAGTAATATCTGCTCCCTCCCTCCTGGCTTTTAGAAAAAAATTAAAATCATGATTTTGGGACCAGGCCTTCGGGCAGTAGAAGTAAATGTATAGAGCATTTCAGATAGACAATGACTGGAACGGCGATTCAGCGGACGACTGTTTTATTGTTTTAATGATTGTTTAGTGCTTGTGGATGTACTGCTTTTAACTTGATTTATGTCTAATTGGAGTGTATAATTGTAATTGTTTGTACTGGCATTGAATTTTGCCATTACTTATATGTAAACTGCTTTGAGTCCCCTTCGGGGTGAGAAAAGCGGTATACAAATACCGTAAATAAATAAATAAACAAACAAACAAACAAAAAGGAACAGTCTCACGCAGCTCATGGCACATAAATACAAACTCCTATTTTCTCACTCTCTATTTACCTCTTTCTTTCTATTACTAAACTATTATCCTATTTGGCAAAGTTGGCACACTCACATCAAAATAAATTGCTGCAACCAGGCATGTAGCCAGGGGGGGGGGGCTCGGGGGGCTTCAGCCCCCCCCCCCCCGAAATTCTCATGGTGGTTCGCAAAAGGCCTTCTTGGTGCATTATTTAAACTGTTATGTTTATTCATATCATGATCTGATGGATCACCCTACTCAATATATCCCATATGCATGGGGAATGATACAAAAGGTTTGCTAGTAGACCCTCTTTCACTCAGACTCAGCCCACCCCCCCCAAAACCCCCCCTGAAAAAAATTCACCCCCCCCCCCGAAACGAAATCCTGGCTACGGGCCTGGCTGCAACAATGAACTGAAAACAGGTACTGTATGTGGGGGCAGATTTGTGACCTAAGGCAATATGAAATGTTTTACTTTAAACATTTATCAGAGCAGAAACAGTACCTTCTTGATTTATACTGTGAATATACTTACTGGAAGAGTTAACATAGGCCAAGACAATGCAACTACTAACGTATTATCGAAGGCTTTCATGGCCGGAATCACTGGGTTGTAGGTTTTTTCGGGCTATAGACCATGGCCATATAGCCCGAAAAAACCTACAACCCAGCAACTACTAATGTTTGCTAATGGTCTGGCTTAAGTATAGGCCTAATACAGTCTGTAAAATACAAACAATTAAAATAAAACTATTGGCATAATTTTTTCCCAAAAAGCATTTTTGTTATCTTTGGTATGAAAGATAGTTGTTTAGCTTTTTGGTTTTTCACAAAAAGACATGAGGCAGCAGACCATAAAATTACTTGAAACCACAAAGCACTCAAAAGGATCATTTTCATGTAATAAGTACTGCTCTCCAACTAGGAATAGCTGATGGGTAAGTGGAACAGACAATAAGGAGTCCTGCGGCAAAAGAATAAAGAGATGCTTTGTCTTTAAGATGGCACAAGGCTCCTTTCTGGTTTTAAGAGTATGTGATCATATGACAGACCTTCCGAGTAGTCTTCTGAAAGGAATGTTGAGTTGCTCAGAATTGAGAAAGGCAGGATACACCTACTCTTTCCTATTCCCAAAATTAAAGCAGTGAACACATTCAGCCAAATTCTTGGCAGTAAAGGGTAGAAACTATGGTTATTGTGAGGCACACTTCGTTTTACAGTTTAGCAGTATATACTTAAGTGATGTATCTGTTTATAAAGAAACCTGTGGCTCTTTCATGCAAACTTCCATTTATTATTCTGAACCCTTCTGTCTGTTTAATTGGACTGGAGTGACATAACAAGGGCTCTTCCCAGGGGGTACTTCCTCTTGCTTCCTAAGAAAACTGGCAAGTTATGAAACCAATGGGACTTGAGTCCTTTAGCTAGGTGAAGAATCCACTAATGACCCAGATGCATTAGCAGCATTGGCAAATAAGCATTACTTAGGGCAAAGGGATAATAAAACAGCCAGAAATCCAATCATTCTTTGAAAACATTTTACAATTAATATTCCTGTATCTAGAGAATGTTTATTATTCTTGATATTCAAAATGCACAGAGCATATCCCGAAAGTAAAACAAAAATATGTCATAACAAATTAGATCCAGAACTAATTAGATTGTCTCTGCTCTATATAGGCTTGATGGCAAATTAGCTCATATTAGAATGTGTAAACACACATGTATTAGAATCGACAAGGTGTTAAATCAGAATGGTATGGAAAGGACATGGGTAAGAAATATAAGAGAAGTTGAAAGGCAGATAAAAGAATAAGATATTACTATTGTTGTTATTATAATGTTTATTTATACCCTGCTTTTTCACTTCACAAGGAGATTAAAATTAGATAAGTAGTTAGGCTCAAATAAAAGAATCAATGAAAAACAGAGAGTGGATTCACAACACAGAATGGACAAACCAGTCTGTCAAATCAAAGTGTGTGTGGGGAGAGACTGAAGGAGAGAGACAGAATGAATGTTTTTCACACCAACTCTTATGTTTATTTGTTCCAGGGGTAGGCAAGTTTATAAGACGATGGCCCTCAAACCATGAAGGGCCATAAACCCATTGCACATGCTCTTACACAAAATCAATTTTCCCTCAAAAGAGAAATGCCCTAGAGGGCATTTTCATGGATTTTAGAGCAAATGGCAGGTCTGCCCTGCCCTGCCCTACCCATCCAGCCAGCTCTCCTTTCCTAGCTGGAGAATCAGAATGGCTGCTCTAAAGCCCTTAGGCATGGCTGGTACCATCAGAACCAAATTATTTCTTTAAAAGATGCCTAGGTCCCAACAGAAATAATAATAATAATAATAATAATAATAATAATGTATTGTCGAAGGCTTTCATGGCCGGAATCACTGGGTTGTTGTAGCCCGAAAAAACCTACAACAACCCAATAATAATAATATTTGTAGACTGCCCTAGCTCTCCGAGGGGACTCAGGGCAGTTTCCAACATGTATAGCAAACATTTAAATAAAAGACAGTATCCACAGTACTCAGGTACAAATACTCAATGGTGCAGGCAACATCTTTACCTAATCTGCTCACGGAGATATAATTACTCACTCTTTATGGTGAATATGCTAGGCATCTGGTTAGACTAGACTAGGAAGTCTCAGCCAAAGAAGAAAATCAGAAATGACACATGAAGTAATGTACGGAAGCATGTCAACATGAAGCACTATAAATATGTGAAATACTACTGCAGTTTCAATATGCTCTAAAAGTGTAAAAAAAAAGTCAGAGAGAATTTTGAAATGGAACTATAATGACATGAAATTTGTTACAATAAAAGTAACAGGGTATGCTATGATATGTTTAAAAAACATATAGCATACCCTTTTGTGATTGTAGATTGTTCCTATAGCACCCAGCAAATTACAATTCTTTATAAATGAAAATAAGCCTCTCTTTCAAATACAAAAAGAGGTGACTGAACTAGCAAAACCTCTTTTTTTCAAGTCATTTGAGAAGCTTGTTCAATTAGTCTGCTAAACATTGGTCCGATATTTCTTACATTTTAGAATATAAACAAACAACAGTTATATTTTTTAAAAGCTGCAGTCTTCTAGAACAGGAGTTTTCAAACTGTGCTCCATGGAGCCCTTGGGGCTCCGCAGGTGCTAGTGAAGAGC